TATACATACATGTCTTAGCTACTGGTCGGAACCCTGTTGAGGATCCTCCATCTATAAGTGAAGGCTGTGGTGGCCGTGTAACTGATTATCGTATAGAGGTACGTCACATTGTGCTGCTTTATGCAGGGTGTCTTAGTCTGTCATAAAAGATTAAATTTTCATTTCATTGCATCTTATTTTATTTAACCATGGGAGTCCAGCCAGTCAGTTAAGACTGCTTTACAGGGTGCAGTTTAAACAACGCCACTTAATAAAACTTTACTTAAACAAGTTAGAAAAAATTCAATTACAAAATTGGAAATTTAATAAGCCATAAATCAAACTAGGCAATGTCCATGACATTTTCATAAGGAAAAAAAGAAAAGTAAAGAAAAACTTCTACAATGTTTTCTTCAACATATTTTGATAGATTTTTTACATAGCTTAGGCCCGCGAAATATAAAAACTTGCTCCCATTTGTTCGTTTGAATAGAGGATCACTCAACTCTGTTTTTGTGTTTCAATGTATTTTGCTCTTAGCTTTTTGTAAATAACCTTATCAGATATTCAGGTGTTGTTTAAATTGTACATTATAATTGCAGTTTCATTTTGCGTAATGCCAGAAAATGTTGGCCATTTCAGTCTTTTTTATTAAACCGTCTGCTGAAATATCTTAGCTGCTATTTCTAACGATTCTAGCAGCAGAATTTCGCATTTTCTGGGGGGTTCCAATTTGAGTTTCCCACAGCATCCCTCCAGTAAAGAACCGTAACGAAATCGCCTCCCTAGAGTGGTCACAGAAAGAAAAACTGTTAAATCCAATGAATGCATGTCTCTTCTCCTTTTGACTACACATTTTTGTGAATCCAGAACCAAGTATTGAAAGCTTGTCATATACAAGTTCTATATAAATATTTTTATCAAGTTACTGTAGAATACGAGCAAATGTTATAATGGCAATTGTAGAAACCTTTTCTTATAGAGTTTCTTAACTTTTATATTATTTCGGGCCGACGGGTAACCATTTATAGTGTTTTCAGTTGAGAGAAAACGAGCATTTCCTTTCAGTATTGTAGTTTGTAGAGAATATTTTTTCAAGCATATGTAAAAACGTCATCAAAAGATTGGGCATAAAAATATTTTTTCGGAAAATTGTAAGATTTAATGCCAAAATTTCTGAAAGCTTTTTGTCCAGGAAAATCCCCGAAATCATTACACTTTTTAATGATAAATTACACATGTAAGCACTTTTTAATGATAGTTTAGTGGACTATAGTACTATATCATTTTTGCCGTCCGACTGTCCCTATGCTACCTGAAATGCTCTAGACATGAATCGTTTTTTATAATATGTATGTGGCAAACATTCGTGGTTGAATAATTGGGTTAGACTGAAGGAAGCTAACAATCCCTGCCACGTGTCCTTGGCACACGCAGTTGCTTGAGCGTTGTTTTAAAAGAAATTAACCGTTTGTTGGTAAAGAGGAGGGGCACCGCACCCTGTCTCTCCGAAAACAATGTTAGTTCTAATGTAATCATATTAACGAATCCATTGGACCAAACCCAACCTCTTAACCTGGCATGAAACAACATTATTCAGAAAGGGAGGAGGAAGCAGTATGAAATATTCAAAAATTTAGTTCAGTGTACCAAGATATTTGGCAGGCACTTTACACCTTGAAAAAAGGATCAATTCAGGGGACAACAGAGGTTTTAAGTTAACGTCATTGCAATCTGTTTGTTTTTTAAACAAACGCGTTTGAATGAACCGTTCTTCCCCAATATTATTTTCTTCAGTATTTGTAAACACTATACTGTCAGCAACAATAAAATGAGTCTCACGGTTAGAATGAAGTTTGGTAAAAAAATTCAGGCTTGAAATGCTGTATTACAGCGAGTGATTTCCGCCAGAAAGGAAAAAAAGACTTTCATTGCGGGTGATGGCAAAATTATTTCAAATATCAGCATGTTTTAGTGTCAATCTTTTTAAAAATGAGTTGTTTGCGTGGTGTAAGCCTACATGCTTGCATAGTAAGGGACATTGAGGCCCTGTTTCAATTTCCCCGTTCTAATGCGTCTTCATTTTCAGACCATTTCCTTTTTTCTTTAACCGTTCTTCCGCTCTACTCAGTTTTCGTCAAGAGAGTCTGGCACGACAACAAAGGAGTTCTCTTTACTCACTTTTCGTCCGTCTTCATATCCTTTGCTCGGACTCGTTTTGAAAACCATAGATGAATGACTACGTTTTCGAATGACTTCTTTTCTGTTGTTTCCGTCGAATGGCGCCATTTGAGCATCTTTTTCGAAAGACATCAGTTTTACTATCAAATGACTCCGTTTTCGAGCTTATAAATAGGAACAAAAAATCGGAAATACTTAGCGTATTATTCTTAAGGATGAAAAGCTTTCTTCAAAATATTATGCATCAATCTAATGAAAATATAATGTATCAATTTTATTAGTTGTCAGGAAATAATTGTAAATCTCTTGCAAATAATTGTAAAAAAGATGATCCCAGCTTTAAACTTGCTAATTATATGCAGTCAAACCTACTACGATGCATCTTTTTATTTGCTTTTCATTTTGTATTTTAGGATTTTGGTAAATTTATGAAAGAGAATCGTCTGGCTCCATACCCAAATGCAGGAGGGACTGGCGAAGAGTTGCCAGTTGAAAAAGGTACCCTTATTTCTGTGTCTACGTAATATAGACAAAGTCTACGGCTAGAGTCTTACATCTTTAAAAAGATCAACGTTGAGTACTCCAGTTTCTTAAGGCTTTGGGAAATACAGACCCAAGGGTCCGTGGTTCGAGACCCTCTCATTACCGAACTTTCCCCTAGAGAGAGGAGAGTCGCCAACTCTCTTTAATTCCAGGCATAGGAATCATGAGGTGTGGTCACATCGAGAGAAAGGTCAGGACTCTGCTCGATATATTTACAGTGTCCTAACACTACCTTCGGCTAGTTAGCAAGCAATACAATCAATTTGAACATTCTGGGTTCTGTATCTAATTTTTCATGTTAAAAAGTTTTCAAACAGAAGCTTGTTATGGAGGGTTTTTCTTTTTGTGGCTGCAACCAGAGAAACTCCTCAATTTTTTATGTGTCGAAATGCTCCTAGCATTTCTGACAAGATAGTTACTTGCGTCCTAATGCTTCCTCTAGATGAGGGAAGTTTATTTTTATCCTTTATGTATAATTTTTTATGCCATAAGCCAATCATATTGATTGATTTGCACAAAATTTCAAAATTCTTGGTTCCTTTTCTTGCAAAATTAGGTTTATTCTAGTTTTTTTATTTTGATTAGTGAAGTTGCTTGATTTTTCCCGATTATACCCCCAGTCGAGGCAGGGGCGCCTGTAAAAGACTGAGGCAGGAGGGTCAGTATTAGTGCTGAGGGCAAATGGTAGAGTTTTTTCCACTACTATAATTGATTATATGTGAGGGGGGGAAGGGTGGAGCAAAATGAAATATTAGCATGGATCTGTTCCACCCATACAGCTGGGATTTATGGAATCAAAGGCTCTACACGCATAGGAATAATGTTGACAAAATTATCCATGCGAATTGGTATTAATTGGCCTTCTCATTAATCGAAATGTTTCGTTTTATTAGAATCATGACAATTAGAAATAGGATGATTGTAAAACTTTGATTGTCCTTTCAGTCTCAATACTCCATGGTTGCAGAATCATTGAGATAGTTGTAAGGAAAATAATAATTACAAGAATAAAATGCAAATCAAATATTTTTTTAATTCAGCGTGTTTTTTATATTACGTAAAATAGGCACAAAATAAACGTAAAATCCTCGTTTTGGTGATGGGCAAAATAGTCAGTATATTTCTTATAACATGCCGTTGGTTTTTGAAGTAAATTATCATCTTCTGAAAAAGAATCAAAGACCGACAGCAAAAATTTTCTATTTTTTTGAATTTCTAATTTAAAGTAACATATAGAGTTCTAAAGTGATGACGTCACAAAAATCTATTTTTGGAATTTTTGAATTTTGACTCCATAACCTGAAAGATCATCATGAAATACCTCTAAATGTGCAAAATCAGGCAAGTGTATTACGAAATGGCAGAGATATGGCCACATTACTGGTTCTCTCCCCATCAAACCTCTGTATTTTGGTCTCTGTTCATAACTTTATGAACAGAGCCAAAATAACAGTGATTCGTTAGCAAACTTCAAATCTTTCATTAGCGATATCTCAACCGATTTTAGACATATCTGGTCAATTTTGCATATTTGGAAGTATTTCATAGCGATCTTTTACGCTATGTGGTTAAAATCCAAAAATTCTGAAAATAGGTTTTTGATGACGTCACACTTTAGAACTCTATTGAGAGTGGCTAAACTAGTCATCAATTATCTACAAGATTCTATAGACTTTTCTTGGGAGTAAATATTTAAAGGCACTTCTTGCCCCCTCTGCCCTCCTGGAAGAGGGCAGGAGAGGCAGCGGCCCTGCAGCCCCTCCAGAGTAGGTGCCCCAAAGTCGACGTATGTTATACCATATTGGTATATAATGCGGGTCCACATCACAACCAGTGGCAGAAAGGGAGTCGCAATAATTTGTGTAAATGCACTGTATGCAAGTTTCAATTCTTTGTTAAATTGATCCATTTTTGCAAGGTGTTGAAACGTGACACATTCTTACGGGAACGTAAAATGTGTTGATTGGAAAAAATTCACTCTGACGCCAAAGGGTCCCACCTCACATGATTTTAAAGTCACGTTGCCTTTTTCTTGTCTAGCAAAAGTTAAAAGTGAATTTCTAAACAAGGAAATTGATAAATGAGTCACTGTGGTGATGACGATTTATGCAATGTGTTGCAACCGTGAATCATCTAATGAGAGTTGCCTCTGTTTCGTAATTAAAATTATGTGCTTTCATTGTTCGGTGATTAAGCCGGGACTTGGCGAGGTTTAGAATCCATGAGCCCCAAAAGTAACTTAAATCATTTATCTGTGATAGTTGATATTTGTGCTTTATTTGATATATAATTTACGATCTAGCAAAATGTAAAGAATGCTTGTACTCTTTATTATGATTCGTAATAAATTTATCTGCCGTTTTCATTATTATTATTGACATTATCATTATTATTACTATTAAATCATTTTTATCATTATGATGATGATATTCATTCAGCATCAGTATAAATCAACTCATGACTGGCTCTTAATACAAATACGATAAGCAAAAATTTGCAGCAGATTAACAACTCTAGCAACAAAAGGTTTAAAGCTGGAAACATAAATCAATAAGCTTAGAGGAATAGAATTTCAACTGGCTGTAGAATTTGTGAAGAGTCTAAATACACTCTTTTTTAAGCTCAGACTGGCTGTTCTTAATTTTTTCGAAAACCTGAGGCTCCATTGTTCCTAATTTGTTCTTAAATGATTAGGGTGTAAGCAGTGCAAGTGAAAATTCACCGGTATCCCTGATCCCTAGATCACAAAAACTCCTCCTATATAAGAGTTTAAACATTGTTCAAAATTACACTTTATAGTAGCTCAGCCTCATCTTGTTCTTTATTTCTTCTTAACTTTTGACAAATTTTGAGGCTCATATTCTTATAAAAATGTTCATATAAAAGAGAGTGTATTTCTCTTGCAATGATGTCAATTTATTGTACGTCTATCGTCTATACTTTGCTGATCAAAGAATCAAAGTTATTATCGAAAGAAATTCAGGCAAAGAAATTTGGCATATACTGTTAAACTTTCAAAGCAGGGCATTTAGTAATTGTATGTATCAACATCAATATCATTTTCATTTCTTCCAAACACGGAAGGTACGAGATTCTCGTGGTTTCGTTTGTGTAAGTGTTAACATTTGTCCAATTAAATAATTATTGCCACCTTGCTCTCACTGTAATGACAATCATATGTCGTGAGAGTTTGTCACTATAATTACAAAACAAGGAAACGGAAATAAGAAATCAGACTTTCACAGATTTATCGTCAAAACCCTTTAGAGAAAGTTTATGGAATGTTTGATTTGGAATAACAGTTTCAAATATCAATGTCTACATAAACTTTGATTGCTAAAACACTTATGCCTACAAGAAACGAGTCGTTATCTCTACGGCTGGCGTCATTTTCGTCTCCGGCAAACCGGTACTTTGGCCTTTGTATTGCGCAATAGACCACCAGTGCGCGCCGATCAACACGGAGCTGCTGGAGACTCTCAGATTTAAACGACGCGCGTATAAATACCGTGCCGGCGGTCTGCTTCGTAATCATTTTCACGTGTTTTGTAATAGTAAACAACGGTCAGCTGTTTTTCAAGGAAGTTCCTGCATCCGAATTGGAGATTTTTAAAGCATCTGCGGGTTACATTTACAATAGTGCCCAGAAGAGTAGCGTAAAGGACAATAGGAGACATTGCTTACCTTCGTAAAAAATTGATTTTGTCAGGGAATCGCTACAAAGTGTAAAATTTGATCAGCTTTCCTACAAGATTTGTCCTGTGGACATTGCAGTCTATCAACAAGGCTTCCTTGATACTGAGGTTTTTCAAGCATTTTGTTTCAACATAACACGCACAGCACCGCACCAAATTGCAGACAGGTTGCGGGCAACACTGACAAGTGGGCAAAGAATCAAACCTTTGCTGTCGAAGAAAATCGGGACAATTGCCAGACATTGCAAACCTCAAAATCATGAGTACAAGCAGCGTTTCGCAAGAAGATCTTAGCAGCACAAACTCGCTTAGCAGCCCAGACAGTAATGCGTGGAGTCCCGTGCACGAGGAAGACCTATTTCTGCACCCAATTAGTCCTACGCTGCCACTAACGAAAGCTTCCGCCCTACAAAGGATTTTGCCCGTCAAAAGTGTTGTTACCAACAGAAAAGAAAGACGACGCACTCAGAATATTAACACTGCTTTCGCTGATCTCAGAGGGTGTATCCCAAATGTGCCACAAGACACAAAATTATCAAAAATAAAAACGTTGAGACTGGCAATCAGTTACATCCAGCATCTGATGCAACAGTTGGACGATGAAAGGTATAGCATGGTTATGACAGAGGGCGGGCGTTTTGCCAATTTCAATTATTGTCAGTATATACGAACAGGGAGGCTTGAGAAACAAATCTTGCCAAAAAGAGGGATTAAAAGAGAAAATCCAGAGGTACGTTGATTTTTTGAATTTTTTATCCAGTTGATTTAAAAAAAGTAAAGTGGATAGAAATATTGAAATTCTAGAAAACGCTGGAGACCTGTAGCCAAATAAGGTAATATAGCAGATCCTTGCAACCCACCTGCCTGCACAAGGTGGACCATATATATCTTTAAATTTTCTTGGTTTAAACTGGCATTTTGTTAACAATAGTAGCCTTATGTTATAATCTGGGATCCGTGATAGGAAGGATCAAGAAGAATCTAAGAAAATATTTGCGAAATGCAAAGTTAAGGTGGTTTCCAAGTAATGATAAAGCGTCCCCCAAAACTGTGTTAATCAAAAGCCGATCAGGCATATTACAACATTAAAAACTTTGCTGTGCTGGGTTAAGAAATGCTCCAAGAAACTTCTATAATTATAATTTTTCCTGCGACGTTCCTCAAAAGTGCGTCTAATTAATATATACACCTTAAACAGCGTTCAAATCATCAGAAGCTGCTTAGTAGTCATTTTGCCTTGATATGAGCTAGTGGATTGGTCCCTTCTTGAAAAACCAGGTCTAAGCGGTCTAGAGTATTGTTGAACAAAGACGTGCTTTTAAAATGTTTTCCAAGTTATTCGTTCGAAGTTAAATCCTGCAATCAGCTGATTCTGAATTGCAGTTACCATCACGTGTGGATCAAGGTATCTAAATAGTGAAGGAATAAGACTATTGCATGAAAGGGCTTTATCACCAGCGAATGGAAGACAGCTGCTTTAAACTGGAATTTTTTAAAAACCCAGAGAACGCTGCTAGAGAGCCACTTAACAAGTCCTGCAAACCACTTGACTTGAAGTAGCATAACGATAATAAACAAAGCCACTATCAGCTAATTAGAAGTGTCTTAAGTTGGCCCTTTAGAAACCACAGCGGTAAGCCGTAACTATAATGCTCGATTAGACTGGCCGATTTGCCTACCCAACAGTCAACGCCAAGCTTCCTGCTTAGTGAAATGTTTTGAGATCACAATCTTTTTGCAGCTGTTCCTTGTTACAAATTTTGGTTCAGGAAAATGTTTATCTGGTATTCTGCCTGGGGCTATTGAACCCGCTGACAGCTTTTGTCGTATTGACATGGGAGGTTTCAAGGCCGTTCTTGTTACAGTGACTTCTTTCTTTGTTTGTCCCCCCTTTTCTAAGAACGAAAGTTTCCCCATGCCTATATTTCATAAAACGGTTATAACTTCCAGGTTGTCTTTTCTTAAAGTTCTGAATCTTAGCAATAAAATCCTGTTAAGAAATACAGAATTTTAAACGTAAAGGTATGCAAAATGTTCATAAATTCTTGTATGACATGGAATTCTTTTTTCCTATAGACAAAGGAACAGCCTGTGCGAAAGCGAGGACGAACTGGCTGGCCTGAGATGGTCTGGGCTTTAGAGCTTAATCGATAATATCTCTTGACTGATATGCAAGAGTCAGCTTTGTTGGATATCACTAAATCAATGTGAAGCAAAAGTCAAAAGATTGGCTTCAATGAAAAAAGGATAGAGGTTTTGGACGGGTGTAGCAAATCTTGGCAAGTAGCAGAATGCCTCACACCGAACAATTGAAGATGAATAAGTCTGATTATGAATAAAACCCATGTACTGATAAATTATAGATGGATGGAGGCATTGATCCATGTGAAAATAAACGTCACATAGACTCTTTACGCGAGCCAAGGCAATGACGGTATAAGGTTTTGTGTGTTTTAGGAATGGGAGACGTGAGGTAATCGTTGTGTTTGATTGTAATTATGTAATTATGTAAGACGCTGTATCCAAAATATTATCCGAATATTCTTGTTTTCCATACACCCCGAAAAATGTTTGGATTGCCGCATTTCTTGGAGAAGAATTTCGTAAAGGACTCATGCATGGTGTTCAAAAGACTTTGTACCACTACCAATATTGTTTCAGTCTGCTAACGTTCATTTTGACCCATGATAATAAATTCTATAAGAGTGTTACTATAATTGTAGCCTTGGGCCTATATCCTTTGATCTATTGTGATCTGTGAATTGTGACCCACAAAGGCGCTTTTGACCTTTCCCTTCCCTCTTTCGTCATGTTTTATATATCAACCATAACTACCTTTGATCTTGAAAGCTGCACTCGTTTGGAAGGCACATTAGCTTAGAAATTTTGGTGAACAACAAATCCTTGACGTTATGCAGAATTATAAACAACCTTTATCATTGGTTGCACGTTAAAATAGGCGCTTAATCGTTGAAAAGTTAAAAAACCTTAACCTTAATTGGATCCAAACAAGTAACTGTACATAAACCAACTTGACCAACTGTATATAAATTCAAATACAGATATATGTGTTAGTCTAGAAATACAATAAGTTATTTTTGGAAATATAGCTTCTTAATTCTATATTTGTGTATAGCTTTTAGAATTATATTGTTAGTAGTTAGTCGTAATCGTCAGGATTTATATCACTTTTCCAGTAGCCATTTTTGTGGTACGTAAAATTAGAGTAACAAAATCTTCTGTTTTAAGAATATGAATCACAAGGAGATCTTTTCTGTGTTTATTTATGCTAGATTAATATTTGTTGAATGGCTGTACACCCATTTTGGTTGATAAAAAACCGTCTATCAGAAACTGAGCCCGAAGATCACCAAAAAATTAAGATGCCATTATTCTGATCAACTTCATACTCATGAAGCAAAGATCCATCTTTAAAGATAGGATGGACATTGTGTGTTTCGATTGTTGGGTACCTATTCCTGTTCAATTGACATAATTCGGAAAAGGGAGAGTCGATTGTGACTGTTCAGGTGTTCTATTTCATGTTAGATTTGTTTTTGTGTTTCAAAAAAGGAGTTTGCATCTTTGGTACTCTGTTCTACAAAATTTGACACAGACAGTCTCAAATGCCGCTAGGGGCGCACCTATAAGAGGGGACAAGGTGGTTTCAGAACTCAAACTTTCAATCAGGTGATCAGTTTAAAGATACCTTGGTCTGAAGTACGGGCTTTACGAGGTATATCGTTGATCATAACTGTAATATGTGGAAAGCAGTTGATGTAAAACAGTTTGAAACAAGAAAATTAGTTGAAGCTCGTATCAATGTTGGATCTAACTCGTATCAACTGCTTCGCCAGTGGTCACTAGATGGTTCCGTGTTTGTTGTTTCAGTGAACGATTCTCGTGATATTAAGTGGTTTATTGAAAGTTAAAAAAACCCAACATGACCATAGCTTAATCAATCCTCGTTGGCGTAATGTTATCTGATCCTGGTTATTCAGTCGAATGCAGGACAACCTTTTGGCAAGAGGTTGTACTGCAATCGACTTGTACCCGTTCAGCGGTATTGTAGCTTTTTTTGTTAAATCAAACATGGATCGGACACAATAAGGTATGATGCCAGGTCTTAGCCAATTTTGTTAGTCCTGAGGCCTAGAACAGCCATTCTTACAAGTACATTTGATGTGCGGCACTGATTGGTCAACCTCAACAGTCATGTGCTCGTGTTTCTGATTGGCCTATTTCGATCTACAGCTGGGTATATATATTTCCCAGCGTAGAATTTTCGGTCTATGTTCTGACGTTTTAAACTCTGAAGAGTGTCAGACGAAAAGCTTTAGTTTATTAAATGTTTGTTTTTTGAAAGCCATTTACATTTGATGTGTACATTCTTAAGAGCGCATATACTGTAACCCTTTAGGAGTGCATATACAAAACAAAGTACCAATAGGTTTTCTTAATCTGCTAATAAGAAAACTTGAAAATGTATGATACCTTTCTAGTTGCTTCAGTATATTTGTCTCTACGAAAGAAACGTTTTCCAGGTTTTCAATGAGCGTGGTTCCAAGAAACGTTTCTCCTTTCCTTACTTTAATGAATTTATAGACAACCGGTATTTTCTAGAATAGATTTTTATTGCACTTGAAAAAGAAGAAGACTTGTAATTCATCCAATTTTTAGCGAAATTGTGACTTCATATGACCTGTTAATAGATTCATTGATTATTTGTTTAAAGTGTTTTCTAGTCTCAATGAGAAAGGGTTTTTGAGGTTTTTTAGAGGGCATTGTCCCTAATTTTTCCCGAAGACTTGTCCCCAGATCCCCTGCTATTTGTCTTTCACCGTTTTGCGTCTCAGATTTTTAAGCCATGGTTGCCTCGCTGATGATTTTTAATAGCTCTCCATAGAAATGCAGGGGCGGCTCTTGCTAATGGGCATCTGGGGGCAATGCCAATTTTCGACCTCGAGCATTGCGAAACGCGGCCTGTGATTGGCTTATTTGGAGGAATCGGGGCAAGAAAAATTTTGCCCATAAAATGACATCATCGCTAAACAACAACCACATCTATATATGCTTTTTCTTCTGCGCTCCATGACGGTCAACATCGAACCATGAATACAGTGAAAAATTTGCAAACTCGACCTTTCTATCGATTATCGCAATATTGATGGTCTGCCCTCCCAACTGTGAAAGTCACGAGCCGCCACTGTAGAAATGGCCACTTTTCTCTATATAGAATGAACGAAACTGGTCATGTTAACTTGAAAGAAACCGAAATAACTCTTTGACTCATCTCCAAATAGAGAGAGTCAGTCTAAATTGCTACCAAGCCTAAAGTTGATGCAAACACCTTTACTCTCTTAAGTCTGAAATACACGATCAGCTTTTATCAGTTTTTTGACTGACAGTTTTCAGTCTCTCAAGGCAGATGTCCTCAATACATGATCAGTTTTCTTCATTTTTTGACTGACAGCTCACTCTGTTTTTATATGGAGCTTGATCGTGGACAAACTGCAGTTCTTATTGCTACATCTTTGGTCGTCAAGAAAAGGCGAAAATACCGAAAGATGAAAAAAAGAGATCGTTTTCAAACTATTCGCTTTTCGAAACTACTTTTGAGTCTGACGTCACATTGCATAATGATTTTCCGTACTTCCACGCATGTATTAATTAATCTGTGTTTGTAACTTTTCCACATTTTGAAATCAACGCTGCTTTGAAAAACTTGCATCTTGCGCTAGGGTATTAGAGTGGCGCCAGATTAAAACAATAAAGGCTCCACCAATGAATAGAAATCCCATCAGTTAAAAACTGACGAAGTTGTACGTGTTCAGTCAAAAACTGACATTCATTAATGCATCAGTTTTTGTCAGTGTTTGCTAAATACACGATCAGTTTTTGACTGAAAACTGAAAACTGTCAGTTAAATACTGAAAAAACTGAACTTGTATTTCAGGCTTAAAACTCTATTTTAATTTGCGCCTATGAATGGCGCCTTCCCAGGGAGCTAAGATTGACACGTTTTATGAAAATGGAGATGATATATCATATATGACGTAAGAAAATTGATGCCTTAGAAAAATGATGTGCTGAGGGTGGTGGTGACATCGATATCACTGTGCCTCTACCGTTGACAGAAGGAGTGGTGTCAGGTGGATTGGCCCGGCCCACCTGATCTGATTCTTCATTTGACTTGCTTTAGACTGATTACATTTTCCTAACAGTCAATTAACTGCTTTTTTTAACTATTTTGTGGGGTCTTTTTTGCCAAGCAACCAAGTGGGAGATAACAAATTATGTTGCTGCTTCTGTTGCTAGATAACAAATTATGTTTTTTTTTCTTGTTCAGGTGCTATCAGTGACTTTGAATTGCAAAAATGGAAAAAGTTACTGTATTCGTGTAATCGACTGTAAGCAGGGCCCGCACAAGGGGGGGGGGGGGCAAGGGTTCATGGCCTCCCCACTTTTTTGCTAAATAAAGTAAAAGAATCAGCTTATATCATCTATATAGATAAACCTCTAGTTTACTATTGTACCAAAGTACACAAGTAAAATCGCCTTAGTGAAATTTTTGGTGCAATTGGGACTAAAGGGGGAAAGAGGAAACTATTTTCAAATTTGTGGCCCTCCAGTTTAGGATCAATGGCGCAGGTTCTGAATAGTGTTTTCACAACATTGGATCTTTGTTGTGTTTGAAGTTGCTCTTCTTATCATCAGCATGAATACGTGAGCACGCTACTTGCTTTTAATTTCATCTAAGCCTTCTTGCCTTTGACGTCGTTAAGCATTGACAAGTGGCGTCAGCTGTTTTATTTTGGTGCACCCTAGCCACAGAAGGGCTTTTCATTACCGAGAAACCAGAGCATCTGGCATTTCCGTATTTCACATATAACCTGACAAGCTTGCCATTTTCCCAAGCAAAGGATCACGATAATCGCTTCATTCTTCTATAGGTTTATAAGCTCTTGAAATTTTTTTATCAAGTTGGTGACAGCGGTGAAACGTCGAAGCTGATATTTCTCACCGTTACAATAACAAACAATATACAGCCTAGTTTTCTATGGCAAATATAGTAATTTATAAGATAGTGTCGTGAAATGTAATTTTAGGATTTGCTCAGGCTTGTCCGACCTGTGGGATGTTTGCTCAACAAGATTGGCATTTGTGTGGTAATTCATGTGCTATATTGCACGTCTGGTTTTCCAAATTTCCTCGCTGTTGGGACCATTTGCAGCATACTGTACTCGATACTGTAGGTGGTTGTTACATACAGAAATGCAAAAGTAAAAAAAAAAATTCCAGCAGCAAAACAAAGATGCTCATTAAGGCCAACTAAAGTAAATGTCTTCATATAAGAAAGTATTTTTTTTCGGATCAGACTGCACAGTTTTCTATGTAAAGAATACGTTTTGGGAAAAAAGGCTGACAAGTTTCTTAAAAAAAATGAGCTCCCTATAAGATGAAAAAGGACCAGCTCGAAAATTTTTGTGCATTATACATTATGACGGAAGGAAATAAGTTTTTAAAAAGCATTTTTTCAATTCACTAAGCTGAAATCTCATTTTTAAAATTTTATTTCACAAATCTTTGTTCCAAATGAGTACTATAAGAAACTGGAAAAAATCAAGGCTCAACAGCTCTTATATTTTGTACATAACTTTGAAAAAGCATGCAGTTTCGGTGAGAATTTACCAATAATTTCGACCTTGTGCAAACTAAACCCAGTTGTAAATAGAACGGAAAACCCTCCCACGTTGTGAGGGGGATCTGTCGTCCAGACTGCAAAAGTTATAAATCAAGTATTGTTGTTATATTTGGCAACACGTAATTAATATGATCAAAGATTAACTTAAAATAACACGCCGCGTTTTTTCTATTCTCGCAGTTAATGGACACAACATTAATATTTTGTTATTCAATATCTACCCGTTTGAAATTTTGGTAATTAAATTCTTTTTTGAGTTTGAAGATCTAGTCTTCCTTTGAGAGATTTGATAAAGGTTTTGGGTTTGGTTCGAATGATGGACTGGTAACATCCTGAGAAATCCTTAACCCAAAATGATGACTAAGAGGTCTCTCCAAATTTTGGTGACAAAAAGAGCACAGTGACAGTGCAAATTCCTCCCCCTGCAAGAGTAATTTAGAAATGAGAATATGCTTTTGGTGTTTAGAATTGAATATAGAACAGGATCCTGTTCTACACCAAAATCGCTCACAGCTCACAGATGTACGGCATCGAGGACTTTATGACAGAACGGTTAACAGTAATTTTCGTCTTCATGTATTTGTCTTGGAAGATTTTCTATCCATTGAAGATTTTGCAAGTTTCCTTTCAGGAAGAAATAAGTGGGCCTTGAAGATTGAATTTTTACTGTCATTTTCCCTTTTTGTCAAAACTACTTGGCGACTGTTGACCATGATAAGTGCCCTTCCCTTATTCATGCCTCTAATTTTGGAAAGCTTTCTTCGACCCTGTCAATTCTTAATTTTTAGCTCTTTGAAACGTATGAAAATTTTTTTTGTGGGAAGTTTGAAGCCGAAATTTCAGGATTTTCACCTCTTTGGGCATATTACATAAACATATGTTTTTTTAAAGGAAAAGCCAATACTTAAATGACTTTTACTAAGTCTTGAAATAACTTTGTATGATACGCAGTATAACATCGTGTCCTTTACAGCAACAACTGTCAGCAATACATTCATTTATATATAAGAAACTTCCTAATAGACGTGAGGATATTCCAAACAAATTAAGAAACTTGAATTGAATTTTTGAAAAAGCAGAGCTTAAAAGATTCTAGATATTCCATAAATGTGATTGACTTGTTGGCATAGAAATTTAGACCCAAACAAAAATATGAACAATCAATTAATGGCAAACTTCTCACGGCCAACTCCAAACTTTTATTGTCTTCCTTTATTAGATATGATATTAAATATGCACATAGGACCCCAAATAGTGAAATTAACGACATTTAAATTTTGAAACTCTTAGGATATAATGAATGTCTTAAGTTGCTGCAGCGTACTCAAGTCGATCATGTGAAACAGAAGTACTCAATGTTGATCTGTCTTTCTCTCAAACAATTTGTGTATAGCCCTGTGCTTGAAGTAGCTTGCTGCTTTTAAAGCTATAGGCAGGACAATTGACATAATGATGTCATTGAATGCCTTAAAAGTAATGCTGCTAAATACCACATAATTGACGCATGATTCTGCATCTGAATCCATGACATTTAATGCACAATCTGAAAATTTGCAAGCAAGATACTTTCGAAGTCTTTTCAAAATGAAAGAAACAGATAATTTGATACATCGTATTTTACTTTTGCAGCTTTGTCACGTTTAGAGAGAGGAACTCGACACTGGCCAATGGCAATAAGCGAGACCCTGGTTTTTAATATGTCGTCAGTGAGTAGCATGTCTCTTTGTATTACCCTAAGGCAAATTTCATCTTTGAAAACATGCTGTTGATTTTGTCATCGTCAATGGACGAGTTTGACTAATTTTTCGAAAACAATTTTTAGCTACTTTTCTTGCTACCTCGTTCACTCAAGTTAACGAATAGATCAGGTCACATGCTTGTGTTGACCAAATGCTGTAAAGTATTTTATGTAATCCTTAGTTGAATAGTGTCCTTGATTTAATGTCTTTCTTCATTCTAGCAATTAGAGCCCTTATTATCAAACCTTGTCAAAGGAAAACTGACTGATGAAGACGTCCAAGATTGTAAAAAGGTTTGTTTCGAGTAGTCACCCTTATTCGTTGTTTTAATGTTATTGCAAATAATTTTTATGTAGTTCAGTCAAAACTGATTTTTGTGTCTTTTGTTCTGCACATAATTAAGTAAAGTAGATATTACCACTCAGTAGGAGAAGGGATTTGAAAATGAATAAACTTTTGCTATTTCCTCCAGAATTTGTTGAGTATTCTTACAATCTTTTACTATTTGTACTTTCCTACAACTTATTTTGTTAATGGTCTATCCTTCTATCCACAATATTGCTGGGACTGCCTTTTCTTGATTTTCTGTTTATAGTTATCTATCCCCTCCTATAAAAATTGTAGTTCATCCAGTAAAACATGTTTGGATCTTTAACCGATGATTTTGTTTAAGATCTTATGATTTTAACTCCATTTCACTCCATTGATAGTTGTTGCCGCCTGTGAAATTTTAATGACCAAAACTAATATAATCAAATAACAATTTATACATTTGAATGCTAAGTATAATTCCGACGTTTCGAGCATAGCTCTTCATTAAGTATGAAAAATTGCAAACTTGGTTTTTTTACTAGGTTATCTATAAGTTGCAAGCCATGGAAAGCAGAAACGATACGCTTCCACTACCAATGATAAGCATGCGCGGAAAAGGCTCTAAAAGGTACGGTTTTACCGCCCATTTTACAACGAGGCTGCAAAGCTTTTTTACTGTTTCTTGTGGGTAATTTATACTTTTAACGGCAGAAGGAGGGGTAGAAGAACATTTGATCCTCTATCAGCATTTAGTTTCAAAATGTTAAAAATTGTTTACAAATTAGCTATAATTAGTTTGACTGAAATATCAAAATGACGTGAACAGTACTGTTAGTTTTTTTGACATTTTTTTCTTTTTTACTATAGGCAAAACATTGTAAACTTATTACTCTCGCAAAATTTTCTAGAAAACTTTGTTTAACGCCAAATTTTTCAGAATTTCCTGTATATTGTTCAGTAGCTAAAGTAGAGAATTGGCTTTCACGATTCATTATTATTTGGTTTGATGAAATTGTCTAGGCCACTGCCGTCGGTCACCTACAAATGCTTGTGGGACTGATAAGGGTTTGATAGCTCAAGTCCTTTCAATTTAGCTCTTTTTGATAGAAGCTTGCAAATTGATTGCCAAGACTTGTAGCCAATCAAATTTCTGTGTACTATCAGCAGAAATCAGCTAGATAGGCAGTGAAACCCAGTCAGTTTTTTCTGCTGTGACTTAATGTTTTTAAGTTCAACATTCCATCAGAAGCTTTAAGCTTCAGGCTTCATATGTACAACCTAGACTATGTTGTCTGGCTTATAGGGAGGAACAGTATCGTCAACTGTGGGCTGAGCTAGACCTATTTATACAAGAGGCAGCAAGAACTTCCCCAAACCATACAAAGGTAAATATTGTGGTAAATATTTCTCATTATAGCGTGTGCAGAAGCAAATTCTGTTGCATTAGATTAAATGTTTGAACATAGTTTTGAAAAAGGTTAGTTGTTGGCAAATGATAGATGTATTTTGTCACGATTTAAACAGACTGTTAAATGGAAATTTAGGGTTTGTAGGTAAAAGATATATTTGTCCATGGAACTACCTGCTTAATTAGCAAGAAAAAAGAGGAAAAATTGACGGAAAAATATGTGCAGAAATTGGCAAAATTTCCTCATGTACACTTTACTTTTTAAGAATGTTTACTACATATTAATCCAAGTGTTTTAGTAGCATTGCCTTCGCGGAAGTGCGACAACTAAACATAGTGTTTTTAGGACTTAGAATCCCCTTGTCATCTTGACCTTTTCTGTAACTGGGATTGCTTTGTTAATCTGCCATTTTGCTTGCTTTGGTTTAAACAAGTAATTTTACAGGTATTTGTTTTGTTCAACCTAAAGAAACATACGAATGTTACATTTTTAAAAAAACTTGTTGGGCCCTTATCTACAGGTTCATGATTGTCTTCGTGGATTGCAAGATAGTGATTCTAACTTTACCTCAAGTAATGGAGCTCAATCTTCTAACAAAGGTAGTCAAATAGTCATTTTTTCTGATTTTTATGTAATCCAAAGTAAATTTACTTCTTCTCTGCTCAAGACATTCCCTACAGTAGTGTGTATAATATCAATATCTTTTCCACCATGTAGACAATGATCCACAAAGAAGTTTATTGAAAACCTCCCTTAAATAAACCTAGAGTTGTACTCGCCTCAACATTACCTTGATCGTCTTTTTTCACGCAACCTTTGTATGTTTGTTGGTGTAAAATTCTGCTGTTCAATGAAGTTGCAGATTAACAGTATTCCATGCAAGGCTTGGCAACTGATATTGAGAGAATATGAGTGGCTTTCCAATTCATTTGCTATCGACATTCGAAATACCTTAGAATCCAAAAGCGAGAGAATAACAAAGATAGACAGATTTCTTCGATCTGAGATATTGATTGGTGACAGAGTGACGTACCCATAGTTGTATGCTCAGGTGGGCAATTTAATCTAGGCCAGAGAAAATGACACCATTTACAGTTGATTCCTTTTGATTAGGAAAGATGTAGTGGACTGTGTCGTTCTATTAAGTACCTAAAAAGTATTATACCAAAATCATTAGAGTAGCACTAGCAAGATTGAATTTATATGCATATAGATATCATGTTCACCGTTTTAGATTTGAAATCTTCAGATTCAACCGGCGTACAAGATTTGTCATGGAGAGAACTTGATAAGTAAGTATCATGAATTGTTAGTAGAATAAATCGTTTTTCTTTAATGCTTTTTGTCTTGGCTTTGGAATCAAGATCAAAAGTTTCTTCATGAGATGGACAGAAGCGATTTGGAAGTGAATGGATTCATGAATATCCTTTTACCTGCACATTGAGAAATTGTGAGAAATCTCTTTCGACGTCTTGAGTTAAAGGTATTATTTCAAAATTTTCCAATTTTTAAATTTCTTATAGTTTTTGCTCTTCGAATTCTTTAATTGCCAACCTTCGTTCTTGGAAGCATTTTGTGATGGTTTACTCACGATAGAAATCTTTCAATCTTTGCTGGTTTCGTTTCAAGGTACTCCCAAATGACAGAACACGAGAAAAGAACCATGAATCAGGTTCCAAGTGATCCAAGAAGAAGACGAAAGAATTCTGAGCCACCAGAAGAAGTCGCTGCTAAAAAAAGAAAACCTAATAATCAGACTGGATTGAAGTCGGGAGGGCTGACCATATCATGTAGGTTTAGCTTTATTATGGCAACGGACTGTTTGAATCTCGCTTAATTTTGTATTTCGCGGACCATTAAAGTAAGGAAATTCTTGTGGCAACAACAAGGCAGCATTGCAAGGACGTGAAATGATAACAACAGCTAGGACTTGCATGATGTAATTTTTGTGTGGACGATGCAAAAATGGACCAAAGCGTAAAAATGGTCCATTTTTAATCCTCTTTTCCTCGTGAAAGTAACATTTTTTATAAATAATACAGAGTTTTGGGGGGCTTGTAGCTCCCTTACTTCTGCTATTTTGTTCTATATTTGTTAGCCTCTTCTGGCTGTTAAAAGTTTTCATATTCACTTTTCAGTTGTTCATCGTCAGGCACAAAACCCCTCCTTTGATGCCTTTTCTTTGTCAGCCCTTTGCGCGAAATCTTTGTTTTCTTCTTTTTAGAACTACCAGCATGCTTTCAAGCTGTTTGTGCTTCTCTGCTAACAATATGATGCTATTAACAAACCTGAATATCTTCTTGTTGATCCTTTTCTTGAGATTCCTTTTACTGCTCTTGTAAAGATGACTGGTGACACGTTTTCGTCACTGTTGCAAATTACAGTCTGGAGACAGAAGCAGGGAGCTGTCACTTCTGCTGGATCTAAATTTTGCTAACCAACGAGGCTACAAGTTTTAAATGCAGTATGCTGTTTAGTAGGTTTTTTAGGCCTTTCTGATCTCTGTATAAATCACTATTCGACTTCTGACTGCCAATGTCATGAACTCAATCAATTTTTCTGTTTATTTATATCAGTATTTGTTGATTTCAGCATCTCTCGGTTCGAAGGGAAATCTTATGACCATATTGACAAATCAGTTGAAATTCTTGGCCAGTCGGCGGCACGAAGAGTTTGAAGGTCGAAAAAATTCGGTGGATGCGAAAGCAGAACTTTATCCTGAACTAACAAAAGAAATTAATATATCAAGGTTTGTGGAAACAATCATTTAGAGAACATTTTCAAAAAGAAATCTTCAAAACTGATTCAGACATCATCTGAATTTGAGCAGGGAATACATAGAAGCTAGAATCCACCCGTTATGTTAAATAGGAAAGCTATGAATTATACAAAAGGAAACAAAATGCAACTCTGTCTAAACTTAAGGAACCTTTATTCTTGATAATGGGACCCAGAAGCATTGAAAAACTGCAACAAAATAAGTCATGGTCCGAGCAACACAATCAGGGGCATTATATTTTGTACATGCTTGTGTTTTCAGTTGTGTCATTATTTCTGGAAAGCTGTGACTGTGTTTTTTTTGTCATCGTTAGGAGTGTAAAAAGAAATACGCATTAGAGTATGAGCCATTGAAATAGAACTCGAGACATCGCCTTGAAAGCCAAGATGATAAATTTTAGAGCGAAGCTGTTAGGCCAAGATGATAAATTTTAGAGCAAAGCTGTTAGATGTTATGCTCCCACGGTATTTCTAGCGCTGTCCACCAGATTTTTCGAATCACAGTGTTTTTGCTTATGTAATACTAAACTTTCTATTACAGCTTAAATACAGCGTCGGTGAAAGAGTGGGTTTGAATACCACAGCAACATAGGACATTGAGCAGTAATCGGTGAAGGACAGTCTGGCCAAGAAACCATGCCACATCCACATTGTTCGCTTTCTGTATCAACTTGGGTCGCTGCGCCATCGATTATGACTAGGAACCGGATCTGGAACTGTTGTCCAGTATTTCTTATTGGATTCATTAGTGCTAACCAGGTTATGAACAAACATACCTGTTAGCTTCAGAGTTTCTTGACACGAGCTTACTTGCTCTGTTTTGTTCAATGCATAGCAAACGAACACTGCTACATTCTGAATTTCAATATCAGAAAATTCAGCAAAGACGACAAAATAAAACATTTATTTTACTCGCATTAACGTAAAAAATGTTAAGCTAGGTCAGAAATACCCTTTTGTGGCTCAACCCTACTTCGGGGATCTTCAAACATAGGACTAGTCCTTCTTGTTCGAAAAGAACCGACTCAGTCGAGAGATATTCGGCTTTTTTAGAACCTTTTTTATTCTAAATGGTAAAAGCATTATCCTATTGCAATAAATCGCCCCTTATGTCTGAGACCTACTGCATAATGTATTGCTTTGATAGTGAATGAAGTATTGACTCGTTATTAGGAACACGTTTCAACTACGTCGGCAACCCAAAGAAGGTTGACATTTCAGCTGTTGAAATATCCCTACGTCAGTTGTTGAGTACATATCTAAAAGCTTGAACAAGGCCTGAAACTTTACCTTTAACGATGAATTAGATTATATTCAGGATTAATTATTGCTTTCACTAATTATTGGTCATTATATTACAGTGAGCAGTTACTGAAACTAGGCCCAAGATTTTACTTTAAAATTAAATTACCAGTCGTTGCACCAAATAACAACAAAAGAAGCGGATATTAAAGTGACAATGAAACCCGTACAACAAAGAAAAACTTTCTTCCTATTTGTGAATATTCCATTTTCAGCAATTATTAAAATACATTATAAACCAAATATTTAAAGGTTTGTGGTTATATAATATTTACACGAGTTATAATTTACATAATGCTAAGTACGAATGAATATACAAAACAGAAACCGAAGCATGAACGACAATGTTTGATGCTTAAAACAAAGCAAGCCATTTGAAATAACATTAAAATAGTTATTAGTAACAAAACTTTATGCTGCAAAAGAAGGATAAATACTGTCAAAATTTTTCGAGCTGAGGTCAACTTCAGTTCAAAATAATTCCACTTCACTCAAACCTAATTTCCTAGAACACCAAATTATATTTTTAATCAAGAAAAGAAACAGCGTAGTTTCTTTCCATTAATTACCTTGAACATTTTTCTTAAATATACACCAAGACAAGCCTAATAGGGAGCACGGAGATGTCACATGCACAAGTAACTCTTTAAGTTACTGAAACGTCAACTTCGGATTGCCCTAAAAAGCATCTACGAGACTGTTCTCTTTACGCTCAACAACTTAGATTCCAACAAAAGAATTGCTTGTAAATCTTCAAGCAACATTTTACTTCTATTTTGGCAAGTATGTGTAGAAAGGTCGACACTCAATCGTCTTTGTACACTTTGTGACAATTATGTATACAAACATTGCGCCTCTTCATGCTTTTGTCGATTTCCATTGGCAGAGAAAGTTGGCAACATGAATTCTTCCTGCAAAACTTAATTTAGTTGAAGCACTTTTGAAAATTTATACATGATTCTTCACTTACTCATATACCGCATTGAAGGACTTTTGAAGCTGGATGGTACCATTTTGCTAATAACGGTTGCTTAGCATAAAGTAAGCGTTCCTTTCGTCTTTGGGCTAAAGTTTTTCTCGTCGAGTTCCATTTTTTTCTAACCGTTTCAAAGCTGCCATTACAATGCTTTTCTTACAGAAGATACGACAATCCTACCCTTGCAAAGAGATGTACGTTGGCAATTTCTCGAAAAGAAATGTATGAATTTTTTTCTTTAATGTCTGAACGAGCAAATGAGAATTTCGCCAAACCCAAGGGGTTTTAACTCACTTGATTTTTGCAATAGGCTGTAAACAGTAACTATCCAAGATTGTAAATAGGCAAAAAAACTTTAAGCCTGTTTCCCAAAAATTACTACTGAATCTCATTGTTTCTCATTAATATTTACATCGGTTTTGGGTATGAATAAAATCTTAGTTCACCCTTTGGTCTTTTATTCCTTCTAAAGAGTTTAAGGCTAGGTTTGTTTTCTTGACTAATTTCATTTCATCAGATGTACAACGAAGGAAGAAATTATTCACGCATGAAGGTTTTGCGATAACGAATCTCGGAATTTCGTTTCGGGATCAGACCTTAGCTCGAGATTCTGCAGGATTTTGATTAATTTTCTGATGATTCCGCACAAATTCCTTCCATAAATAATTTCCCTCTTTGAGGTATTATAAACCATCAAGCTAAATGTTCTCTAAAACTCTATCAAGACCCTTTATTTTACAGAATCTTGGTGTTCAATTACACCATAGTCAATAGAATAAACTTTTTCTATTATAGTCAACACCATAGTCAATAGAACAAATTTTTTTAGTATCATAGTTTTTCTATTGACTATGATTACACTTGCTCGTTAACGCCAGCTATGACGTAATATAGCTTGGCAAGGTTCTGAACAAGTCCATTTTTACACTATATCCGAACTACGCATGAAAAAATAAAGATTTCTTGAAGATCTTTTTACATACGCATTTGCCGTTATTTAAAGCTCAACTGTAGCTATTGAAACCACTACTTATATTTGTCACAGCAGCAATGGCAGCATTTGTACCATTATAAAGACAGTCAACGTTGTCTTCTATTCTGGGGTTATACTGCAGGAAAATTTCTAACATCTTTCGAGTCTCTGTCACGATGGTTTGTACTTCGTCCGTCAGTTGGTGACTGCAAATAAATAATAACATTCAAGTTCCCGACCAATTTCAAGCCAAGGTTTCTTTCTAACAATGGCTTGATATCAGGCTGGTCAGTAGCGATGCACTTTCTCGACAAAATAATTCATATAAATTGAAAAATTGCGATAGGGGCGTTCCGTCTAGTTCTAACTAGACGCATCACAAATTCAAAATAGTAGAAAAAGGTTCGCCAAAACAAAAAGAATAGTAGAAAATATATTCTTTTAGTAGAAATAATTAAATACTAATCTTATAAAAATGAAATCAAAAGTTGTTAACGCTGCACACAACTAACCTCTCTACTATTTATATTAAATCCGCTCTGAAATGGATCTATGTTTGAAATGTGTGGCATTGTAGAAAAATACGTTTTCTTGTTTTGCTTCGAGTACGTCTTTGTATGATGCTTGCCTGGAATGGAATTATTTTACTGCGCGTTAGATATGCATTTAATAAGGGGATTACATCACTTTAGCAAATTTCCTTTCCAGCTCCAACTATTTTTATTGTAGTATCTATGGAATTGCAAAAGCAAGGTAAATAATTTTTCTTTGCTTTTCCCTTATCTAAAATTTTCATGGTGAATATTTGATTTGGCAAGGTAAAGTAATACACTTTTTGCCTCTCTGAGCGATGCTGTATAAGCTCTTCACACCCCCCTTGGAACTTCCATAACATTGCTACTGTTTAGTGATTGTTTTGTAAAGTGATTTCGAAACGTTTTACATTGTCTTTTCATTGCACAATCACTGCACTATGAAACAGCAGTGTTGCTATTTTGATCAAAATTGCAAAATCGAGAGACTTCACCAATCTGTATACTCAAAGGGGAGAGACAGCAGAAAATTACACAACAGCGAATGAGCAAACATGAGTTCCCGCATCGTCTTTTCCCAGAAGCATTGCCCGCGTATGAAATATGGCGGCCACGTGAAAACAATGGTTTCCATTTGTAGTATGATAAGACTGGAGTGAAGGGTCCAGTGCGATGCAAGGTTCCAGTGAACGGAGTACGGTGAGCGTTGTTGCACGTCGAAATGATGTCTAAACTAGCTGAAACGATAGGCACGCTTCGAACTGGCAACTTAAGGTGAGTTCTTTATCCACCAATTTACGTTTGGTAATAAAGTTCAGATATAATACTCACTTCAGTGGGATAAGGCCTAAGCTTCAGGCTGAGATGAAAAGCCTACCACAATCGCTGTGCTACTGAATTAAAATTGTGTATGTTTCTGTCCAGGGAAAAGCTTCAAATCTCATAAACGGAACTTGCGATTTTGATAAATACTCATATTGGTAATTCAAATGAAAGTGGCAGCACTTTCAATAAGAACTCCAGCTAAGTGTCTCCGTGCTAGACAGAAATGTGATCTTCAGCATTTCGTTCGGAGACTCGTGTTTTTCAGTGGAGGCATGCAGCGTGGAATTACTACCAGCTTTTTAGCCGAGGCGTACAGCGTTTGAATACTAAATTGACGAACAAATATAGCATCAACTGGATTGGAATATTCAGTAACAATTGTTTTATTTGAAGAAGAAAGAACTACGGTGGCAAAATATACTTTCAATCTACGGTAGTTTCTGGGTAATGGAAATGGGAACATAAGCTGAAATGATTTAAAACGATTAAAATTCTGCCAGGCATTTTCTTCAAATTCGAATATTTGCGAATATGTGAGGTTTTACATACGAATATTGGCGCATGCGTGAGATATTACATGCGAATACGTAAGGTGTTCATGCGAATATGCGAAGTCGTTAATAAAGATCATCTACGTAGCAAATGCATAAATTGTCCTCACCTTCAGCACCTTTGACACTAGGAAATGTCACACCCGATACGGGTGGTAACTCCACGTCAGTCCGTGAATCGCGTATCAAATAATCTTTAGTCTCTTGTCGCATATTTTTCTTTTTATATTTATCAGAAAAAGTTGATTCGTCTCCCGTGTTTCTACTGTATTTGTCGTGATCGATGGCATTGGTCCGTTGGTCTTGATGGGTCATTCTTTCCGATGTCAGATGGCCGTTGAAATCGGATGCTTGTTTTTTAGTGTGTCCTATACTACTTACTTTTTTTAACTTTGGATCCAATCCCCTGCAAATAGAGGAAGTGATTTAAATATTTTTTATTTGCGTATATTATAGGGCTCGAATACTTAGTTAAAAAGAAAGCATATTGAAATCTTCGAACAGTTTCAAATATGCTCTGCATATAATATGCCTATATGGAGCCCGATTTTCGTTAAGAAATTTCCATGTTATAACTAATCAAAGCAGATACCAATTTCTGCGGAACCCTTTCTAATTGAATAACACTTATAAAACCCGTAACTATTTTGAACAAATGACGAAATAAATCGCGAAATTCTGTGACCACAGACCGGAAAAAGTTTAATCCATTATCATACCGCTAAACCATTTTGGAGATAAAGGGTTTAGGTTAGCCAATACATAGCTGGTCAGGGAAAAAATCGACAAGAAGACGACATATCGAACTAAAAAAAAAGATTGTTGTGTTTCATACCTATGTCCTTGTGATGACGCCTGAGGTAAATCTGCACCAGGGGCTGAGATATTCAACCCCAGTGTTGTTCTCGAGCTCATTTTAGTATCCGAACGATTTAAGGCCATGCCATCCTCAGTATTCTCCTTGTGATGTTCCGAATCATGAATAGGGGACAACTGAATATTACCATAGTGCATTGCATTCTTCTGGTGGTGAAAATTTTCACTAGATGTTGAAACATGGGCTATCTTTGCATCGGGGGACGAAGAGGATTTTGATAATGATGGATTGGACGCTTTCATGGATATGTCCCGCTTCTTCTTTAAATCCAATTCCTAAGAAAGATGGGAAAATAAAGGCTGTTATTATAAATAACATCATTTATATCATACCACTTCATCATGTGAATTGAAACAAATTAAATCATTCAGTATAATTAAAACAGAGGCATTATACATAAGGCTGACCCCAGGATGTTGCAGCTTTAAAATGAAGCCTTCTTGGGTATCACCTCGTGGGATGTATTCTCAAGTTACATGATTTCTTGCTTACACGATTACTGTTAGCGGTCATATGCACGTTAATGTGACATATTGCTGCAGAGGATTTTCTTTTGAATGGTTTTATGAACTCTTGCTTTCAAATCGACCATTAATATACATTTTATGCTTCCGACTAACGTTACTAGTTCTTACATATTCCCAATATTTTTGAAAAAAGAGGATTTTCCCTAAAAATACTAAAAATGCCCAGCCAATAGGTACCATCGTTTCAATGGTTTTTATTCAACAACACTCCTATCAGTTTGAAACGTAAAAATATCTCTAAACCATAATCAGTGGAAGTAAATTTTGCAGAGGAAGTAAATTTTGCGGGGCATTCATTTTGCACAATATTTTAAAATTTGCACAATATAAATTCACAAAATTATACACATACAATATTTCTAAAATAAACACCTTTTTGTTCTTCTTCTCTCTTCTTTCACGCTCGCGTTCTCTCTCTCTTTCCTTTTCCTTTTCTCGTTCTCGTTTCACCTTTTCTTCCGCACTCTCCCGTCTATTTGCAAGCGCTCTTAGCAACGGATTTTCCGCATTGTCCTTTTCCACTCTGTTTTTCAATTCGACTAGAAACTTTTCAGCAAACTGGTCTCTAGTATAAAAATCATGCTTCATCATTTGCTGGCAGGAGGGTCTGTGGTTGCCGTCCAGCTCCAAGGATTTCTACAAAGTATAAAACAAAGATCAACGTGCAAATGTACAAAAAATCTTAAGTATGTTATCAGATGTTTGCTTTTTTCAAAACCTTTTTAAAAGATAAAAAGCATAAAGATGATAAAGGAAACATAATGATGAAACGGAATGCGATTGCAGTTGTCTAAAGAGCCAGTGATGACGATGATGAAGACACTGAAACATGGCGTAATGATCTCGTCCTATCTTTCTGTTGTTTTACGGTTTGTTGTGAAGCCGTCAAACTGCTTGCTCATTGGCAAAAGGATGAAGATCATTCTGTTTATCTGGACTCTTCCAGAAATTTAAATTATAAAAAATCTATGAGCTTCAATCACACCTTTTACATTTTTACTTAAAAACCTTCATGCTTTTCTGAAGAAGAAAATATTTCCAGTAATAAAATGCTAAAGAAATTTTAAGATAATCCCTAACGTCCACAAAAGGGCAGTAGCCAGTTTCAGCAAGAGGGCTATAGATTGGTTCATATAATTTCAATGCGATTCTCTGAAAAAGTCTATGAGAAGAAGGCATATTTTGATTCAGAACACATTTAAGTGACCTGGTTCTGACACGACGAAAATTCCAAAAAATTAGAAAACACACTTAAAAAAGAAATTGAGTGACTGATATCTATCTGACTTTTCTACACGTCAGAATGTATCACTTAAATGAATTTTCTGTTGAAATATAGTAGTTGGAAAAGTTATATCTTTCTGTTATCTCTTTTTCGTGTCAGCAAAGGTTATTTTTGTTCACCCAAACAGAGATGTTATTTACATTTTGGCAACTCAGGCTATCTGACCGTCATTTGAGCACTGCTTCGCCTCGTGACCGTGCAAGCAGCCCAAGCAATGAAAATCAAAGTTGTTATAAACTTTCGTTCTTTTGAAGAGGTTGCATGTTGAATTTTATTTAAAGATTTGTTCAAATGGATCTCTGGGGGAACAAGGAGCCTCTTCATTTGTCTATCTACTAGATAAATAACAACAGTCTATGATTTGATTTTAATTATAATCTTCTAGTTGGAAACCTACTTTAATAATGTTCATTGCATCATGAAGTATCCTTGGGTACTTCTTTTCTAATGGCTCCGTTTCTTTCACTTCTGGTACTCTCATGCCCATGAATAAAGGATTGCGACTAAATATTTCCTGGTGCCTTGGGGTCAGATTACCTGAAAAAAGACATTAGTGGAATGCAATCAGATTGCAATGGTAGTCGATGCATATTGATTTCATTTAAATATCACGCTTTTTGGTGTAAATAACCAGACGGTTCTCAATTGCTTCTCCGTGTTTCACGCTAAATGCGATGATTAATCGCAACTGTCAACAGCAAAAGCAGTTACCTGTTGATCGCACTAAGTGTGAAACTCGGAGTTGTACTTCAGAAGTTTCCTATTCTATACACCAAAAATCGTGTACAGCTCTGCCGATATGGCATTGAGCACTTTATGACAGACCGGTAAACAGTAACTTTCGTTAAAATATCACATATGTTTTTCAAATATGACAGACCTTACTTTTCAAAGCACCAACCCAGCAATTAATCCAAAGTAATACATTAGCTAATTATAATTGACAAAAAACTATACTTCTTAACATGATAAGAAGCAATAAAACTTTACTCTTAAGCTTTATAACCATAATCAATAGGCAACTAAATAAATAATAAGTCTACAAAAAAAGTTGCTTTTCTATACGAATTATCCTTAATTAAATAATGTGCCAATATTTGATAAGTAAATCCATAGTAAGTTTGGGTGCGATGGGAAGAAGAAAGGTGCGGTGCTGTGTGGAGGAGTGATGCAATGCGGAAAGGAAGTGATGCGTTCAGAGAAGGAGTAAGATAGGTTCGTCTGGTACTCTTTCAGCAACACTACCGTTCCCAGGTTAGATTGCGTCGATGCGCGAAAACACCGTTACGGTAAAAAAAAATCAATTTTATTTATTTGGGATAAACCAAGGCCGCTTCTCAATATAATAAGACTAATGCGGTGTGGCCTTGCTTGTCGGAACTAAAAAAGTTATTTCTGAAAGGTTTTTTAAAACTGTTCAATGACCAGTTTTTTAAACTCTTTAAGTACAGCAATCTCTCACAGGTGGCTGCAAATTGGGTTGTTTACTTCCTAAGATGCCGACAGTAATAAGATGGCCACACGTGCTCAATGGTTGTCAATAAGTGAGTAAGAAGCGACTCCGATTGAAAAATTAGGGGTATGAATGAGCTGGCGAGAGATCTGAAGCCAAGACTGCAAGCAGTCTGTAACTAAAGCTAATCAAGGATTTGTTTCACATGGTGTCATAGTCAGTACAAGCGAAAGTATATGGAAAGACAGGGGACGTCTTTTTAAGACAAAAAACGTTACTGAGAAATTAAAATGCCTTCCCATCACATTTGCATCGGTCGAGCATGTGCTTATTAGAATGACAAAGAATTGTGAACCACCATATTTAATTTCAGTCAAAGCAGCCAAAGTAGCTCGGTCAAAATAACTGTCTATTCTTCAGTTTTTGAAAAGCTTTAACCATCTGCATCCTGCCTTACCCTGACAGCAAATCAATTTTAAAAAGCTAGATTATGCTGCTCTGCGCATTAGTTATCTGTCTAGCAAAATATTTACATGGTTTGAATTTATGATTTGACCGCAACAGTTGATTCAGCTCAAATTTTCGAAAATGCCTTTACAGGGCGGAATGCAAAAGGAACTTTTAACTAATCAGTGTCTATTATGATGATAAACAGCCTCATTTTGCGCTTTCTGGTTAGTTAAACAACATCCAAAGTTAGGCAAGAGACAGGAACTGGATTGCAAATTGAAAATTTTAATTTGGCTTTATTAATTGGTTTTGATTTGACTTGATTTGCTTTTACTTAATTTTAATCTATTTTATTTGATCTCGTCTTGTCATTTGATTTGAATTATATTGCACAACCCATTCTTGTTGTTCATGAAAGGGCCTGTGTCTGCCAGATGAACAGTTAGTATTTGAACTGCATCCTGTTAATGTCCTGATCTGAGACAGCGCATTTAAAGTTTTTAATAAACTTACACATTTTCTTGCTGGCTAAAATGTCGAAAAGAAACACATTCGAAATTTTCTGAATGTCATGGAATTGTTAAGATCGGATTTTTACAGGCAATACTTGATAAGCAGCGTAAAGACTTAATCTAGATGATGCCAGGTCGATTCCACGTCACATCAGATTTTTACACTGAAACAATGCTGGTGGTACAGGAAAAGTCTCTTCATGGGAGATCAATCACTGTCATTTGGGCTTACTCTTTTTGCTGCAAGGTAGTCCTTTGCAAATTATTTTTGATGTTAAAGAAAAAGCCATGCTCTCCAACTTTATTATCCCAAAAACTTGACGCAATATGAGTGTAACATTTGGACAAATTTATGCAAGAAACAAAGAATGCATACCTAGGCACTTTGTTATGTGAAAAAGTTGATCAATGTCTGAATCTCCGGGAAAAAGTGGTTCACCAGTCAGCATCTCTGACAGCAGGCACCCAACTGCCCAAATATCAACAGCTCTGTAATAAAAGAAGCGATTCACGTGCCTGGCAATAAGAAAGGGCTTAAGCAACAGAAGAAAAAAGGACCTCACCTTACAACAAGCTTCATAATATCTAAATTTATTCTTCCTTCATTGAAATTCAACATACAGCTTGCTCTAAACATTACTTGACTTAAGTAGATCTTTAATAAAAACTACATTCTGGGACTGGAGAAGCAGAGGGACGGCTGGGTGGCTGGATAGCTGGGTGGTTGGGTAGCTGGGTGGCTCAATCTCCTTCCCCAATAATTTTTAAAACTTTTTTTAAAACAAAAATAAGATAATATTTAGCTTGTCAATCCATTAAGCAGTCCCTGACTGAAGCTACTTCTTAGATTTGGTTTCCACTGATTCAAAAATTTCAACAGGCATTAACAACAACAAGCATTAAAATATAACTAAACAGATGCATACTTTCCATAATTAGTGTCTCCAACAAGTAGTTCAGGTGCTCTGTACCATCTGGTTGCAACATAGTCGGTATAGACTTCACCAGGTCCAATGGCTTGAAGGCAAAGAAAGATAAATCATGAATTATATACCATTAAGTGCATAGCTTATACAGTTGTGGTAGGGTGCAACTGTTCCTATATTTCAATTAATACTCAGTAGCATCATTGTTAGATCAGAGATAATTGCTAGATAGGTCATTAAACAAAATAGCAAGGAAATAGCTTTTAAATTAAATATTTTTGATCTGCCAACAGCAGTTTCGGCAGAACAGTTTCGGCAGAACAGTTTGGGCAGAGCAGTTTGGGCAGAGCAGTTTTGGCAGAGCAGTTTTGGCAGAGCAGTTTGGGCAGAGCAGTTTGGGCAGAGCAGTTTGGGCAGAGCAGTTTGATTTTCTATGAGTATATTTTAGCTTTTTATTTGAGAGTAGCCACTGAAGCTTTTACTAGTTAATTGTTACCAAATTATAAATGAATAATAAATGAATGAGCCTCCTGCTTTGTTTTCAAACACCTAATATTCTATCACCTGTTTTGCTTTACATGGCTTTTCTTGGTTTCTATGTGGTTGTATTACATTTGCAATGATTGATAATGGATTTGATAAGAATTGAATGTCTCAACCTTGCTAAATGAGATCAACTTAAAGGAGGATTATGTTTTTATGAATGCAAGTTATCACGTTTCTACAAAAGTGAATATTTAAAAGGAAATCACAAATCATCGTAAATGGTTATAAATAAGGGTTATCAAATGAAAACAATTTGCTATGATTATAGGAAAGCAGCAAATGAAAAGTATTTTGTTAGAATTACTTTAGATGCATGACAGTAAAAGAAAAAGAAGCAAACATGCCATCTAGAATTCCAAAATACAACAGTGTGTTACCTAAAGGTCTTGCAAAGCCAAAATCACATAGTTTTACGATTCCGGATTTTGATACTAGGATGTTTTCTGGTTTCACATCTCTATGAATAATCTAGAAAAATAAATACATATTCTTTTTTTAGCAACACTCTTAAGAGGACTCTTTTTTGTTTTCAAAGGATGTAAAAATTCATAAGATAAGCAATTTAAAGTGATTTCCATTGATTGAAGGCAATTGGTTCCTAAACAATACGATACAATAGATTGCAGAATTATAAGATATCATATATCATCATATATCAAATATCATCAAAGGGGAACAATCTACCTAAAATTGAAAAGATAGGTTGATCCATTGGTATGGTCAAGAAAAAAACCCATATGAGTAATGCTGTAAAAGTTTTGAATTTCTTAATAAACATTTTGAAAACCATTGTCTGCACCTGTGACCACAATCATGACAAATGGAAAGTTGGTATCAAAAGTTAAGTAAATTATCTCATAGGTGGTTAGAAATCAATTCTACATTCTTAGTGTGTCCCAACAAATTGTTTCTTCTACCCACATCATCGGCTGTGTTTAGATAGGAATCATCAAGCACCTATCAATTTTTGTATTGTTTATGTATATAAGGGAATAGTATAACTGTACATACATGGGAATTTAGCAAATGATTTACTTGTATGTATGTCTATCATGGCAAATTTCCTGATTAACAATACAATTAATGCAAGTACTCTCTAAGTCTCAGATAAAATTTCCTTCCCTCCCCTGAACTTGACAATTTTTTGAAAAAAATCTAAAAAAAACTAATCCATATTAAGACCTATGTTTATTATTTTTTAAGTTTGTCTAGCAAGTGTATACAATGTAGCTCTCTGCAGCACAAGGAAGTGCATCAAGAACGAAGAGAGAGTAAACATTATTGAGCATTGAATATCTTAGCATATGGTGATGTTATAATTTTTTTCTTATCAATTTTACGAAACCGGTATCTTTTCATATTCCTTCTGTTTCTAATAAAGGAACTTTAAGCGTCACAAACCTTGTTTTCTATATCATCCATAATTCTGAGTAACTTGGAATAGTAACATTATCTTCATCAAATGAAATCTTATAAAGGTACACCTATCAAACCACTTGAAATATGATATTTTGGCTAAAACGTCTCTTTCACATAATCACTTACATTGTGTGTATGACAGAAATCTAATCCTCTGAGAACTTGATAAGATATTTTCTTAACTGCTGTTTCATCTAGCCCATTTGGAGCTTTGTCAAGATCATCTAAAACTGTCCTATCAACATATTCAAAAACTAGGAACAAGCGTTTCTTTCGTCGAAAAACTTCCAATAGGTTGACCAAATTTGAATGATGAAGTTGCTAAAAAAAGAGAGTATATGATTACATTTCTGCAGTCAAGTTTTACTGTGAAAGTCAAAGAATTTTAGTTATAAATACTGTGCCCTTAACTACGCAGTACTTACTATTAATAGGTGGTTTAGGCTTGAATGTTCTCCACAGATTTCCAGCGAAGTGTTTCTATAGACTCATTTTGGCTTGTTTGCAGCATAGTGTTTTCAAAGAAGAGGTTTTTTGTGATATTTCATGTTGTCACTGCATTTTTATAAAATTGCTTAGGCATCAATCAAACTAACTGTTGGTATACATGAGAACTAGATGATGTCTTTTCCAATTTTTCTTCCCAAATAATTCAACAGGAACATTTTCTTAAATATTTGATTGCAAAGGGATTTTTAGTATTTTAGTGACCAGATCAAACAGAAACTCATAGAGGCGAGGAATATTTTAGTTATAGTATTACCTTTAGCATACGTATCTCCCTCATTGCTATCTTCTTAACCATCTTGTCATCTTCAGATTCTATGAATTTCTTTATAGCAACGAGCTGGTTTGTTTCTTTGTGCCTGCATTTCATAACCATACCATAGGAACCCTCACCAACAAGTCCTAAATTTTCATATCTTTCCATAACTACGAATTCTATTTTTAAAACCTCCTCACAAATTATTGATGCAGCGCATTTCTCCAGCCAGTGGAATTTTAAAACACTTCAACAGCGCGTTCTTCAACAATAACAATAGCGTCCTTGTTAAGATGGGAGTCTTGTAAATATTTGGGCTCCTAAGTAAACTCTTGTCATGTTGCTGATTTGCTGCAATTGTCCAATAAATCCGAGCAAATCTGATATACCTACTTTAACACGGTCTTTTTTGCAAACACGTACCCCAAGAAAACTGGGTGAAAGATGTTAAGTGTATTTCGTTACAGTTTTTATTCGCAGTGCAGCTGAGATTAGGCTTGCACATCAACTTTATCCTTGTCAAATGTAACTGATTGAGCTTTCTATTACCACGAATCTGCCAGATTAGTGTAATACTTCGACCATCTATCACCAGTGAAATCACAGTTAATCCAACCAAATACACATTTACATAATTTCGTTTCAAAATAAACCCTGATTAACCAAAAAGTGAGCTTTATGGTTGAACGCCTTTATGTTGTCCACAATTGAAGACCGCCATTGACTACCAAACGATGCCGGATGGATAAAGATCAAGTAAAATCCTCTAACGCAAATGCCAGTATGGAATCGCTATATGTAATCCTGTAGGATTTATGCATATGCATCAAAGTGTACTTTATCCTTCATCTTGTTACTATTAAAATGGGATACAGTGAACACTCTTAAGCGTGACGAGTCATGTCATATTTCTGCAGTAGCTTTTGGAATTCCAAAAATGCCCCTACCATGGAAATGGTTCCTTCTTTTTGTATGTGGATTAACGTTCGCTTCATAATAATTAATGTGATTGCAAAACATAATAGGAAGAAAGAGAAAGGGCCCTTGAAAGTTGGCTATATATATATAACAGATTTTGCCAAGAATCAGAGAAAATTTGAAGAAGAAAATTTTGAAGCAAGGATGTACATTTTTCGCATATAAAATAAAACACTTAAGAAACTTTTACAATATACTGAACCTTTATTGCTTCGTTTCATTAATATGTTTAGATAATGATGAGCATAATGATATGATAAATGATATGCAGAACAGAATTTTAGTGAAAAGAGTCTAACAATAATTTCATCTTCTCTGAGCGTATGTTTATGTTAGTTCTTGAGAATGCAGTACCTATTCTTTACTGATAAAAGGTAAGGGGCACACGAAATTTCAATTTCAATTTATATTTATTATACCAACTCATTACTGAGGATATATCCTTGGTTTGTATGACATTTTAGTTCTTCCCTTTCGAAAGACTCGGCCCATACCTCACATAGTCATAGCGACAATCTCCTGTTTAGTGTTGTCAATGACAACCATCCACTAGATTGCTTGAATCTTTGTTTTTGTAAGTTTATCATTTTCATAGCGACAAGAGAAATGACTTATTGTGAGGTAGTCCTTCAATGGCCCACAAAACAGAATAAATTTAGAACGAAATGATTGAAACGTGTTTTCAGGCCGTTCGGGGATACGAAAGTAGTTCAGGTTAGAGTAAATGCATTGTTTGAAACAGTCTAACATTTCATTGCAAACAGTTTATGATTGACGTAGAGGCCGAGGTCACAGGGGCAGGGCTGTAGGAAGCAGCTGAAATATGGGGGGGGGGCATGACACGACACTTTTGAGGTCCTTTTTCACTAGTAGGGTACTTGATAAATATGCGATACACAGCTGGAAAAGATAATTTTCAAAACTGCGATCATTCAAAGGGAAATGCTTTACCTGGAAGGACAGTCAACCTGCAGTCTACACATTAAGTGCTTAATTTTTTACTTTGTACTTCAACACATTTTATTTGAAAGATAAAGCTAAATGGACACCTTTTTGTTAACTGCAATATCTTGAATGAGCGCGTGCCCCCAGTGCCCCCCCCCAGTGCCCCCACTGCCCCCGGTTTCTACGTTTCTGCACAGAGTCACAAAGTATCCAAAAAGAGTCCAAAGTATTACAAGCATTTATTACGTGTATCTATTTTGTTGATTTCTCTTAGCATACTTGGATTTTGCATATTACTTTAGGTTTTGCATACTTTGGTCCCAAAATAAAAAACCAACTAAGTAGCTTTATACACTCCCCTCATGAAAGTACCCGGACAGTTCGAATTTTTATCCGTTATCATTTTTTGTCAAAATGATAAACGTTTGCGCTATAAGCCTTACGCAAATCAACTGGTGTCAAATAAGCGGAGAACAGCAAAGTCAGGTGACTTGAACTCAGTTAAAATGGGCCAATAAAACCTGGTAATTTTTTACAAACTGGTTCTTGAGACACAAATATTTTCGAATAAAGAGAAATACAATGTTTTTACTTTCAGTTGGGAAAAATGTTTGCATGGAGCTGCCACCGATCGATTATATACACGCCACAATTTGGATGCCAAATTAAGCAACTTTCAGTGCTTAGTGCTGACCCTAGTTTCTTAAAAAATACAGTTTCTTGTAAAAAGGTGTATCGCAGCTTACAAATCTACCTCTCCGTGATGATTCGCTCTTTGATTGAAGCAAATTAATGATATCCAGCCTTTTATTGATTTCTGCGTTTCACGTACATACTTCTGGAAATAATTTTTGATTGGCGATACAGTAGGGGAGCAGACATTTGCCACTCACATAGCCTATATCTAGAAGATGCATTTTAATTGATAACCCAACTCATTCTACTCTTTCGTTCAAGAAGAACTGATATTCATGATATTGGTAGACAATTGTCACAAGGTTGCAAAAAAAACTCTTCAACAAGTCCCAAAATATGGTGGTACCCCAGGTACAGATCCCCAGATTCGCCTACAAAAATGATGTTCCTAATATGTGACCGTCTGCAACAAAGGAACGTGGCCAAACAGCATCCAGGGAAATTTCAGATTCTAAATTGCTCGAAGAGTACAGCTTTTGCTGTTTGCAGGATGTTTTTATGCACATGAACTGTAAACAAATCTGACAAGGGATAGTAGACCATTGAAGTTTGCGTTGACATAATGATGATGTTATAGCGTTCTTTAAACAAGCTAACTGATAAAAAATTAGCAAAAACACAGGTTGCGAGATCGAAAGAAATTTCAAATGTCAAGCTGCCTAGAAATTACTTATTCATAACAAAGATTAATCATCATACTGAATGCTCCTCGTATTCTGCATTTAAAAATACAGCTTGGTAAATGTTTTAATTTGATAACAATGTAATGCTCCTCACTGGTTCAAGGATAATCATTTGAATCTCAGTAGTTCGATAAAAGAAGTCATTTATACATTTTTTCCTATGCATATGCCAATTTAAAAACGATAAATGTTTTTGAGAAAATTTCAAGGTCATGTGCATTCTCCTTACTAGACCATTAACCCTGAGTACCAGACTCACTTTATATAAAATTTTATATAGTGAGTCTGGTACCCAGGGTATAGACCATTTGACTCTTGCTCATATTTTGCCAATGTGTGCAATTGAAGTGTTTTTTTTTAACTTATAAGCATTTTTAGATGTTCAGACCTACAGCATTCACTTAATGCCAATACTGTAAATGTAATACCTTTCCAAGAAATTAAAAAATTTCAGACCATTTTTTAATCACTCTTACATTTAGATGTACAGGTCACCGTTCTGCTTTCTTCTACGAATAACTCGTTTGTAAATTCATTGATAGTAAAATATGGTGGGTTAATATTATTTTAGCGTCAATAGGCATTCGAAACCATTGGTTATTAGGTTGTACTTGGTAAACTCCAGAAGAATTAGATACCATTTTGCTTTTTACAGCTTCTCAGGGCTCATTGCCTGATCTTTTACTACTTGTACATACAGACTATTATCACACCTTATTGCTAAATTAAAAACCACGCCCCAAAATGAGAAACACTTCTGGGACCTTATCAACTAACGATCATGAGAACAAGGAGAGCAATGGAAACTGGAGGAAGTGTAACAATTAGGAGAGGAAAATAAAACGAGGTGAAAAAGAGTGAGAACGGACGAAAAGAAGCAAATGGTGGAATTTTAAAAATGGAATAGACAGAGAAAACACTGAAGAATGTATGACAAAACTCGTTGAAATTTAAATAAGATTCTGTTTGGAAGATTTTAAGATTCTTATAAAGATTATCATTAAGATTAGGTTTAAGAACTCGGAATCACATAATGGTGAGGTCTAAAACCTGCCATTTGTTAAATAATTTCTGTGCAGTTCAAACTCTCTAGAGGTCGTTAAAATTTTGGATATAGAAATGCCTGATTTATATAATATTTTCAAAAATCCTTGATATTGCTTCAGTTTTATGGCCTTTAATAAGGCCATTTATCCATGTAATCGCAACTTGCACATTACGAAAGGAAAAAAATTGTAAACCAATTAGATCTTTAAAAAACTCACAAAGATTTTTTAACGGGCACATCTTTGATAGGCAACATCACTAGTTTTTCAGAGTTTGGCAAGGGAGTAGGGCAAGATTCCTTGAACTTAGCCGTATCATGTCTCCAACAAATCTTGAAAGAAGATACTTAAATGAAATGAAAAATATAAGGTCGTATTTCGGAAATTTGATGAAATAAAGTATTTATATATGTCCAGATTATTTCCTTAAAAGGTCGAAATATAAAGACTTGTTTCCGAAGGGGGTCGACTAAATTGGTATTAATACGAAAAGTGCGAATAACAGAAGTTCTTGAAAGTCAGCAAGGGTTTGTTATAAGAATTTTTGAAGGACGTGAAAAGTTAGTTCGAACAAGAAAAGAGAACTTCGTATCTCTTTAGAGTCGCAAAGAAAACTTCGTATACTGGCGTCATTGGTAAAATGTAGGCTTCTTGAACGATAAAGATTTACGGTGAAATAAGATGGAGGTTTAAATTGCTTGATAAATAGGCTCCAGAGAAACGAACTTATCATGAATTTTTAAAACTCTATAGAGGTCAGACAGAGATTTAGAGTCACTCTCTTTCAATATTAATTGCTCTGTGGTAGAGATTGTAATAAAACCGAACGTCTATGTTTTTTGCTTGATATTCATTATCTCCGGAATCTGCAATCGATTTTATTTGCACAAAAGCCTTTAAAAATAAGTAAAGAGCATCTGCCGAAACAGTCATATGAAATTCGTCGCAAAATTATAGAGCCTTGCACTCGTTACTGCTGTTGTATTTAGAGAAACCGTGATTAGTTCAAGAGCCAAATTCGTTGCCAAAGTAGAGCTGCTATAATACCGGGATTTTTATGTTTCGCATAATGTTTTCATGTCATATATTATCAGAATCATAAAATTCATATAGATATTTAAATTCAAAAAGTAATTATCATCCGCTCAGAAAACACTGACTATTAATTTTTAAACTAAGCTCAGTGTTTTGCACAAGGGTGACTCTTTCTGTGAGTTAAAGCTAGACTTCTAGCAAGTTTTCTACTTGCTTGTTGTAAAAAAATTATATTGCTTTCTTATGTCGTCAAAATTTTCTTTATTTACCAACGTTTTTTACCATTTTTTGATATACTTTATCCATCTATACTCCATAAGTTTGGATATGTTTTTCATACTTATTGATATAATGAGGTCAAAATCTACTGAATTTCCCTAAAAACTCTTGAAGGCTCTATGTCTCAACGCATTTCGCTAGTCATTCAAATTTCCCATTTCCTATACAAATGGCCAATCGGCAAATAGAGTACCGAAGTGTGACGTCAAAAAATCAATTTTTAGAATTTCTAGATTTTGACCAC